TGGAGAACCTAGAAATGGCTCACAATGCTGTCATAGAGAGCAGAGTAGTACAGACATACCATGCTAATAAGAAATGAAGGGAAGGAGATGACCTTCAGGTTGGAGACCTAGTGTATCTCTCAACAAAAAATCTGAATGTCCCAAAAGGACATGCACAAAAACTCATGCCAAAGTACATTGGTCCAATGAAAGTGTTGTGCCATGACAGCAAGAACAATGTATATACACTTGACTTACCAGACCAATTGAGGTCAAGGCATATTCACCTGATGTTTCACATTGGGCTCCTATGCAGGTATGAACAGAACAATGACATTCTGTTCCCAAGGTGTGATGCCCAAGCATTCTATGATGTTGGTATGACTGATGAAGAAGAATGGTTAGTAGATGAGATACTCACTCACCATTGGATGGATAACAGGATAGAGTTCCTGGTTAAGTGGAATCTGGGAGACTCCACATGGGAGCCAGTGGCCCATTGTAAAGACCTTGAGGCCCTAGACAGGTACCTTGAACTTCAAGGCATACAAACAGTATGCCAATTGCCTTGAAAGGCACAAAGTACACATAAGCATACAGTAACCATGTAGTGGTTGCAACATAGTCTTAGACTACTAATGAAACAAACACAACAAATGATCAAAACAAGAACAAACCATTAATAAAAAATCAATAGTACCTAGCACAGCATTCTGCCAAGTAGAGTAATATACTTAGTATCCTGATGATCACTGTTCCATACTTCCATTTTTCACATGTCTGTACTTTCCTTTTTTGTCACTAAAGTTTTACATCACTTCTACACACCTCACCTCTTCTTCCCTAATGCTCACCACATTCTAGTAGTAGTCTACAAGTCCCAATGTGATCACCATCACAGCCCAAGCCTAAACAGCTCATCCTGTCCCCATTCCCATTCCTGTTCTTGTTCAATGGGATCTGCTACATCTGACTGTGGCAGGTCCCCTGCATGTTATGATGTGTACTCTGATGACAAGCCCCCCCACTTGCCATCTCCCACTGGCTGGCATAGTACACACATAGTCAGTAGTGGCCACAAATGGCTGCATTCCCCCTCATGCTCTCCATCACCAGAGCATTCTTCTTGTAGGAGCAAATGCTCCTGTCATCCCCAGTGGGAATGCCACCCCACCATGCCTTTCCTGCATCATCATGGCACATGTTTGGAGTGCAACTCCTACACACAACACTATGGGCTAGGAGTAGCCCTTAATGAGGATGGCATCATGTCCTCTATGAGCCAGCTGGCCAACCTTGCAGCCAGCCTCATATGACATACATTGTACAACAACTTCCATCATCAAATTTGATCCTATAAAAGGAAACTGGATGAGGAATGGGAAGCCAATGATGACCTCCAAGCAGAGATCAAGGATCTTCACAAAAGACTGAGTGGTGCTCCCCTGGGAGAAGCTCCCCACTCCTCAGTTCCCTCCATCCCTCCTCCACCCCCCATCACTTCTGATGAGCAATTTGCTCATGAATTTGAGCATGCTCAAATTATGTCTCTTGGTGGTGTACCCCACCATGACCAACCTGGCATTGGTACTTCCTCATCCATGTGGGCCACTCCCCAACCAAACACCCTCTCTTTGAGGGGGAGGGCACAGGTAACACCTGCTCTACCTTCATCACAGGTCAAATAACCTGCAGACCATAAAGGGAAGCAAAGGCAACCCTTGCCCCTGCAGGTAGAACCTGCATGTCCTCCTATGGAGGATGAAATCACTCCCAGCAACCTCTATGCCAATGTTCCCATGACTGTTGATGAGCTGATCATCCAGGGAACTATGTTCCCTAATTTTGATGGGACTGAGTACCCATACAGAGTACTTCACCTCAGGCAAGGCAATGACAGCATCAGCTTGGTCCTCTTTATGAGGATCAACAACAACCTGTATGCCTATGGTGACAAGATGATCAGCAAGGTCATTGGAAATATAAAGAAAGGGGTCCCCCCTCCCATTCCAACCCACAAGTGATCAGTGGGTCAAGTGGTTTGATGGTAGAGGGACATGATGGGCCCCATCATCCTCTATAACACTGCAGAGGAAATCTGCAAACTGTATGCAACAGCATATGATGAGCCTGAGGATAAGGCTCCCTGTGTCCATAAGGCACAGGGTTTAGTTACATATATCAACCTGTGGAAAAGGTGCAGGTTGGAAATGAATGAGGTCATGGACCTCACATTAAAGGAATGGAGACCACCCATTTGGGCCTCCCAAAAAGTGCATCAGAAAAGAGAGGTGCTCAGAGACAAGGACAGAGCATCTTGAGTGCAGGCAAGGGAGGGTGGACCCTCCAGATCTGAAACTGTTGGTGGCCAACTGACTCTACAAGGATGGATTGTGGATGCTCCTCCTGTCCCCTCTGCAGTAGCTGCAGAGGAACTGAGACCCATCATGCCACTCACACATCACATTGCAGCACAGCCATCAGGGGGATCTGCCCCCAATCAGTATCAGAGACCTCCAGAGTCATCTCAATCATGAGGAGGGGCTGTCCCCAAGCTTCTGTATGGGGCTCCATCCACTTTTTCCCCAGTTGATGACTGGGTGAAATTCATCCATCAGTATCAGAATCAGTCTGATAATTTTGACAAGAGCTCCAAGCTCTCAAGAATGTTCCCTGGAGCCTTGGGCTTCAGCTTGTGCCCCAACAATGATGAGGTGGAGGTTAATCCTCCATCACAACAGGATGTACAAGGATTCCTCCTCTATGAATGACTAGTGCCAGTCTCTTGAAGAAACCACAACTGGAACATCTGGCTCTGTGAGTTGATCAAACTCCTCACAGTAAAGGGTTGGTATAGGGCCCTTCTGGAGTGGGCTGAGGTAGCCCCTGCCAACAGTACCCCTGTCCCTTGGGAAGGGGAATTCACCCATTCAGCCACTCTGGCTGACACTGGATACCTGGCAGCTAATGGTGTCATGTATCATGATGCCCATGATGCCCTCAAGTGGGCATGGAGGGCAGGCAACAAGTATGTTGCCTGAATAATTAGCAATGGAGGGGATAAGGACCCCAACACCAAGGTGATCATCAATCAGATGAGGGCTGCCTTGAATGAGCTGCTCCCCATGGGGGAGCACCACTCACTGGAGCAGATCAATCTCCAGGCTCATGTGCTGGGGGTCACCCCCAAAAGTATCATGCCCTACAAGGTGTGTCCCATCAAAGAGAGGGACCTGTTTGCCCTCAAGGAGTTTGCCAAGTCAGCAGCCCTCTATGACCTTTCCCACCATGCTAGAGGGGAAGGCAGTAACACAGGAGGGGTTGTACTGATTCCTGCTAATACCCTCAAGGAGGGTGAGATGGAAGATGATTCAAGACCAATGTAGTCTCAAGGGTAGTCCCCTCTTGGAGGCCCAGCCCTCCAATATGAAAAATGGTCACATTGTGCAAAGGTTCAATCCCCTTGTGCATAGACCTAAATCCACACTTTGAGGCATAACCCTCTCCAGTGGTTCACAAGGTTCAACATCTCACTTGTATATACTTGTCTGTTTTCTTTTCCTCCTTTTTCTTTCTCTTTTGTTTTTGTTTCTGAACCATTACAGGCTCTACAGGGGGAGGGTGTTAGGGGTGCACCATGTATGGTGCTTATTATCAATCACAGGCATGTGGTACCCCAGTATCACATGCCTGGCAGTTCATTGTATATATGATGTTTTGGAAATTTTACTTAGGACAATCTTTTGTCTCTACATATCATATCTCTGCAAATACCATACAGTACAGTTCACTAGCATGATCTTGAGATGAAGGATCCCCACCCTTACAACCCTACCCCCAATTAAAGTGCATTTTCCTTGCCATACATATTCTTGGCAGAGGGTACACTCTGCAGTGCAGTGGCTGTCAGTACTACTGCAAAAGAAGCACCTAGGGTTGAATGAGTGGCAGGATGACCTTCCTGCAGCTGCCTCAATGATGTCAAAGACTCTGTGGCCTGGATATACTCATGTTTGAGGATAGTTGGAGGGGTGGAATTTTGGGATGGGGACTCTGGGTAGAGTGCTGAGCTGTCCAGCTGGATGAAATTCCATCTAGAGCTGCTAAGAAGGTAAGTGGCCTGTTTGTAGACCTCATTGAAGGGCCAAGGATCATCAACATCATGGTCTAGGTCTTTAAGCTGGAGGTGGATAGTGAGGCTATTGCAGAATCTGGGGGGGAATTAGAAAGCCATGACCAATGGCTTCAATCCATCCACCAAGATCATAACTGGATCACAGTATTTCACTAGCTACACTGTGATTAGTGAAAATAGAGCAAACATTGGGATAATTTTTGAGCCACTGTAGTCATCAGCAAGCTTCTTCTTTTTGTTAATGAAGGCAATGATATGGCAGAATTCTTGGATATATTTGCTAAGGTCATCAAGGGATGACATAGGCTTTTAAACCTGGTGATGGAGAAGTGTCTTGAGGTTGGCTTTGGTGTATTGATGCCCTTTGACATCAGCACCTGGATAAAAACTGGTTACCTCCTCAGTAAAGGCCTCCCAGTCATCACCTGTGGCAGAATTGAGATGACCATAGCTCTGATTCATTTCAATTGGTGTAGTGGATGGCCCACCTGATTTTGACTTTGTCAACGGTAATGCCTGTGTCTGTGCAGATCTGGTCAACATCTTCAAAGTAAGCACAGATGTCTTCAGTTTTTCCTGAAAAGTTAGGAGCCTTGTTAGAGCCCCTATGCAGCATTTCACAATGGTTGGTGGTGGTAGACATGGGGATCAGTATTGATGACCAAGGTGGAGGGGAATTTTGAATCAAAGGTGGATTTCTGGACAATTGTGATGAAGGGGCTTGAATGGGCAGCAGAATATTACTCTGAGGGGTGAGAAACAGAGATGATAGTAGAAGAAGTAGCTCTGCAGCAAGAGTTGAAGCTGTTGAGGAGGAAGAGGATAATAAGTGAGTGAGTGGTGATAATGTTGGGATGAGAATCCACACTCTGGACAGGGTAGGAATGGTCAGGTAGCCTAGTGGTAAGGCACCCCAGTACTAGTGGGGGGGACCTAGGTTCAATCCCTGGTCTGGCCAGTATTTTCAGTCATTAGGTTATGAGCCCTGATGGTGCTGGAAGCTGGTCCCTACTAGAGGCACACAAAAGGCCACTCATATTAGGGCATCCATGGGTTTGTTGGCCAGGTGTGAGCCAAGCAGTTCCCATTACCTAATTATGGAGGGGGTGAGTGTGGCTTCTAAGGGGAGTGTTGGGATGAGAATCCACACTCTGGACAGGGTAGGAATGGTCAGGTAGCCTAGTGGTAAGGCACCCCAGTACTAGTGGGGGGGACCCAGGTTCAATCCCTGGTCTGGCCAGTATTTTCAGTCATTAGATAACTCTTGGCAGTCTGGCAGTGGTGCAAAGGATTCATCAAGCTTGAAAGTGCTGGGTATATCCACTGAGGATGGAGATGAGGGTTCTGAAAATGGAGGGAATCTACAGGGAAAAACTCCAAGTCTAGGGAACTAAGCTCTGAAATGTCACAGGGGTTAATGGCAGGCACAAAAAGATCTGAGGATGGTATGGAAAGGCAGTGGAAGGGCTCTAAGAGCTCTTTGGGTTCTGTTCATTGACAAGTAGGTCATAAAGATCTCCTTTCCAGATCTACAGACCCCTTGTGGTGGGCTCCAAGACTTGTGGGACTCTACTTTGGAGAAGTGTGTGGGGGGGACTAGGGAAGACTGAAGGAATGGATTCCCAGGTTCATCCCAAGGGGTGCTGAGTGGAAAGGGATGTGTGAAAGATGAGGGAGATTGGTGAGGGAATTTCCATACACAGAAGGGGCTGACATAGGAAGAAGTGCTGGTATGGTTGGGAAATTTTCTGGGGGGATAGGTTCAGCTTAAATGCTTGAACTAGATGATGACTTGTTGACATGGGAACCTATTATGTGATTCACTGACTTTGGGTGGATCTTGTAGCCACAGTGTAGATGCTGGAAAATGCTGGAAAACTTGAAAGACTTGACTCTGGGGAATCTTAGACTCTTCAAACATGGTGAAAGTGACTCCAGAAAGTGGGTATCTTATTCTGAAACTTGTGTGGAATATTTGTAGTGTACAGGCAGCAACAATTAGTAAGGAAAATTTCTCAGAAAGAGTGAAGTATCAGAAAAAAAAAGACACCTGTCAAAAGTACAGTGTGTACAGCCTCACATGTGTAAGTAAGGAGGAACTGTGTAAACAAAACAAAGAAAAGGAAAACAACAGTAGGCTCAGTATCAATAAACTGGAATATATGAACAATGGGATTCTGAATGAGTGTCTGGCTCAGGACTCCAGAAGAGGAAGGAGCATGGGAGAGGCTGTGGCTGTGGCTGTACTGTGGCTATAATGGCAGTTGACATGACTAGTGATGGGGCATCCAGAATTTTTACAGAGGTTAGAACACATCATACTGTGATTGGCAGTACTGGACAATGGCCTAGGCTCCTGTTATGAGGTTGTATGATCAACTGCAGAACTTCAGGGAGGCAACAGTGAGGTGATTGGGATGTTGTAGAGATGTGGAATGAGTGACAGAAGTTTCATATGGAATTCTTTGGACACAAGGCTATGTGGGAAGATATGAAGCAAAACCAGAGATATTCTGAGCTCAAATGGGTAAGACTGTGAGTGGGAACATTGTGCATGGAGTGTTAGTGTATGCTCAGAGAATCCTTATTCTCTACATCAGCAAGCAATGATGACAAAGAAACTGCTGATGTGAAGCACACTGAGCACCAATGCCAGAAGCAGGTTAGGAAGGAACATAAGGCAGCTGAAGAAGTGGCAGAGTGTGCAAGAGTGGAGCAGGCAGAAGTAGAACACTTGGAAAGGAAGCCCATGAGGCCCAGGAGAAGGAAGCTCAAGAGGCTCAGGAGAGGGAGGAGCACCAGTATGCCATGAACTCAGAGACCAAGTTCTATGCAGTGCTATCACAATGACAATGGGAGGAGGAGGACCAGTTGATGAACAAACAGTCCAAGATGCCAGTAGGGGACAGGCTGAGGCCAGGTGTGCTGGTGCCAGTAGTGCCAGGGAACCTGGGCTGGCAGAAAGCTCAAAAGTGAAGGGTAAGGCCAAGGCATATGACCCAGTGCCTATCAGCCCATGTGCCCAATGTGTCAGAGCCAGGGTGGAGTGCACATTTGAGTTGGCAAAGGTGAGTACTAAAGTACAGGAAGAAATCATGTGACCAGTGTCCAGGCCTGAAGGAGCAATGTGTACTGTCAGGTGGGTCAAAAGGTATGCTGAGGAAGAAACAAGCACTGGAAGAGACAACATCACCAAGAGCTGGTGAGAAAAAGAAGCATGCACAAGTGAAGAGTCCAGAGGTGGAAGTGCAGGCTGGACCTTTGAGGTCCAAGAGTGTCACTGGGGTTGGAGATCCTGGTGGCATGGGGGTTACATGTCATTGTGGCTGCCATAGACCAGCATACCAAAGAGATGGCCAAGCACCAGCAGATTGCCAAAGAGAGCCAGCACATGCAGAGGCAGTTCAACAACTGTCTCTTTGACCTTCTTCAAGAAATGGAGTACCAGCAGGTGGCAGAGGTGGGAGAGTCAAGTGATGAGGAGACCACTGGCAAAGAGGCCAGTGATGGAAAAACTGACAAGGATGTGGAAGGTTGAGGAGGAGGAAAGGCCAGGGAGTGATCCAGAGGTGTGAGTACTGGACCAGAGGTCAGTACTTGTAAATACAAAAGTTTTGTTCTTTTTGTTTTTTTGTAGTTTTGTTTGCCTGTTTTCTGTCTCTGTGCAGGAGTACCATAAAGTGAAGACCAAGAGCTGGTAAGTAACAAAAGTCTGGAATTTACAGAACAAGACAAAGTGTGAGAGTAATGTAGTTGTACTGTAAGTACCAACATAGGTCAGGAGGAAACCAGAAATGATACATAAAGTAGTAACAAGTAGTGTACCAGTACTTGATGAAACATACCAGAACATAAAGGTTGTCTACCAGTACTTGTTGCCAGTACTGGGACATTGACTATCTACCAGAAAACAAGGGTAAGTATCAAACCTGAAGCAGGTAAGAATGTTACAAAGGTTACATCCACATGGGCACCATCCCCCTCTTAAGTACCAAGCCCACAAGGTACAGTGGGGGCCAGCACAAAGGTCTGGAGGCACCAGAAAAGGGTGATGGTGAGGACATGAACAATGAACAAAACCTTCAAGTACCAAGAGGGTACTGAAGTCAGGAGTCCAAGGAAAGGGGTTCTGAGGGCTAGAGCATGGCAGCAAGTGCCAGTTAGAGTTGTGGAGCACCAGAGGAAACCAGAGCTGTTGTACCAGTGGGTGCATGTGAAAAGGAGAAGTCCAGGGGTCCCAACCAGGGCAAGATGATGACAAGGGCAGAGCAGATGATAATGACTGCTGCTGCATACCCAAAGAACAGGTGGAATGGGGATCTGAATGAAGAGTTGCTCAATTAGAGCCACTCCTCTCTTTTGCTGATGAGTTACATATACAGGAAAGTCCAGGGTGTTGCTAAGCCAGAAAGTGAAGTCCAGACCAGAACAATGAGTGCCAGTTCTTGTACTTCTGAAAAGAAAAACCCTTGGGGAGGGCAGAGTTGTAATGGAAGGAAAGAAGGTGGTTGGTACACCAGGTTTGACCAGTGAGGTAGCCATGGAGGCTGGTCTAGGAGAAGGCAACTGAACACTGGAATCATGAAGCCAGTTTTGCAAAAAGCAAGAGTCAGAAGTGGGCAGCAGGTCAGAGTGTAGGTCAGAGTGCTCAGAAGGGTGAGAGAGTTGAAAGCCAGGATTACTAGTACAGAGGCAACAAAAATGGGTTGGCATTCCTTGGGAATGGCTGGAACAGGTACTACTCCATTCCCAATTGATCAATTGATCATGTAGGGAGGTTAGTGGTTTCCTAGTACCAATGCTTAAGAACCCAATGAAAAACTACAGAATGTTACCAGAGTAACCCTGCTGGGCAGAGAATCATAGATGCTTCATGGAGTCTGGAGATGGAGTGTTCCAGAGTTGGACTGGGGTTTAGCAAGACTATCCTTGAGCCTTTTTAGGGGTCAATTAGATAATCAGGGACAGGGGATGACTCAGAAAGGTTAGTGAGTCAACTGTTGAACAGGCTAGGGAAGTCTGGTGATTCTTGCAGAGAGGTGGAGTGAAGGTCAATGGACTGGCACCAGGCCAATTTCTGGAGGGTAGAGACAGGGTGTTGGACATGACCACATGGACAATAACAAACCTATCCAAGTGGGAGCAATAATATACTGTTAGAACCAGGTTCCAAGGGCTAGGTCCAGACTGGGAAATTGTGTACCAGCAAAGTTCTGGTAAGGGTACCACAAGTCCCAGGACCTATGGAGTTGGCACAACACCTGTGTTGGCCTCAGCTCATGAACTGGACCCTTGGATAGGGTATGCCAAGTGACTAAGCAAGAGGAATAAGCAAGGGGTGGGCACAGGTACTGGGAGCTCAGATATTCAGCTTGATATTATTGCTAAGTATCTATGGAAGTAAGTACACAGATTATATACCTAAGTGCCAGTAGTCTTGGTAATCTGTAGTGTTAAAGCTATTTACTGAGTGACCAATCAACCATCCAGGAGGCCAAAGGCTGGGCCACTAGTGACTGATATGTCTACTGTGGAATGGGAAACTAAGTTAAATTAAGTCCTACAAACCTATATACAGAACAAGGCAAAGGCAGTGTACTGGAGTCTGAGCCCCAGAGTCCAGAGATCAGTCTCATATACATCAGGAGAGGGCCATTTACTGGAAGTAATGTCAACTAGTAAAAACATGATAGCTGGGAGTTGCATGATCATGACAGTTTTCCTTTTTCTGATACAGGACTAAAATTTCATGCCCTAGATGACAGTGGATGAAAACAGCCATAAGAATGAGGTAAGGGATAAGCATAAACCTCATCACAGCTACAAAACTTTCAAGAAATAGATTGTTACTATCAGGGTGTACAGACCAACAGACCTGAAAGCAACAGTGTTAGGTCCCTGACAGTAATAATATCACAGCAAGTACAACTCAGTACTAAGAGGCAGAACCTTGTCCAT